GTGAAGTAAAATCATAGTTGAATATCTGCCTTTCTATCATCTGTTCTCATCATTCTATAAACCCCAAGCAGCATTTCTATCTTTTCTTTGATCCTGTTTTTTTTAACCAATACAGGTTTTTTAAAAGTCTTTTGTTGTTATTAATATACCATTTTAAAACAATCTTATTGACATATTTTATTTTTACATCACCTTTATTTTCTAATATATCATTTCTTTTTCCCTTAGACCTAGAGTCAGCCTTTATAACAACAACAACAAGTGCTTTACCAAATGTATTGATCAATTCCAATAGTGTATGTAGTGCTCCACATCCAAACTCTTATCTCTTCTACAAAGAAGGGAGGGAGGTGCCTTTTCGTATCTTTTCTTCAGGGTCAAATTTAGCAATTATAATTACATAGCAGTCATTATAATTTCATTGATCATATTTTTGCTATTTTTTTTCATTCTAAATAGAGTTATAGTCATGGTATGTATTTTTTTCTTGTTCTGATTACTTCATTATCTATCATTTCACCTAATTCTCCCCATGCTTCTCTATATTCATCATATTCCTTGTTTCTTATGGACTACTTCATTTTATATATCACAGCTTTTTTTTTCAATTAATAGTTTTTTTAAGCATAGAGATTCCTTTATTTTTTTTTGTTCCAAATTTTCTCTCTCCCCTCCCCTCCCTGACCAAATAAGAAGTCAAGAAAAACATAACATATTACAGATATATAGAGTCATGCAAAACAAATTTTGGCATTAGCCATATTCCAAAAGAAAAGAAAAGAAAAGAAAAGAAACAAAAGTGAAAAAAAATGCTTCAATTTGTACTCTGCATCTATCAGTTCTCTATCTAGAGGTGAACACCATGTTTCATCATAAGCCTTTTGTGACTATGGGAGGTTATTGGATCACCATATGTTTATTATAGCCATTTGCCAATTGTGGGTATCTCCTTTGTTTCCAGGTCTTTGCTATCTATTATAAAAAGTGCTGCTACAAATATTTTAGTGTAAATGGACATTTTCTTTTTATCATGAACCTTCTTAGGGACATATCTAGTAGCAGTGGGATTTCTAGGTCAAAAAGGATTGACATTTTAGTCCCTTTCTTTGCATATTCCATACTGCTTTCCCAAATGGTTAGAACAGTGCACAGCTGTTCCAACAAAGCATTAGCATGCTTTTCTTTCCACAGCCTGGACAACATTGACTATTCCCATGTTTGTCTAAACATCTTTGCCAATTTGCTGGTATAATGTGAAACTTCAGAGATATTTGTTTGTTAGTTTAAGAAAACTAAAACCTCATTTGTTAGTGATCGGTAGCAATCTTTCATATGGCTATCAATAGTTTGCAATTCTTCTTTTCAGAATTTTTTATTGTCATTAGTATCATCCCCACCCTGAACTCATTTGAAATTTAGGATTCCTGACACTATTTTTGAAGGACCATACCACCATTCTGAATACATCCTCAATTACCTACTTGCCTTTGCTTCTATCTTCTATAGGTAACATTTAAATTTTAAAGTTAATTGATGAGTTCCCTGGTCTCTTTAGATAGCCCTCTGCCCCCCCTTTTTCCTTCAATATAATTATTTCTGTTAAAATCATTAGAGTTTAATTTGAGAGCTTGTCAGCCACTCTTGGTTTGACATCCTCTTTATACTTCCTCTGAATGCTGTGTAATTCCTTCTCCCATATTCTAGAATTGACAGATGACTGTAGTCTGTGTCACAAATTTTAAGGTGGTGTGGACACTTTCCCAAGATTCTCATTGTTCCTACTTCAGCACCAATTCTTCCTCATTAGTCCAAATTTCCACAGATGTTCTGATAACTGAACTCCTCTATCAGTGTTCTGTCATACTCTTTATCTCCTTCTCTCCCATCAATCACAATAGTACTTCTGTTTCTCCTTCTGTCAATCTTCAACTAAATTCTCTCTACCATGTTTCTCTAGCTGGTTCCTGGATATATGTGTATATGTATGTATGTGTGTATGCATGCATTCATGTATATCTATATCTATGTGTGTGTTTATATATATGTGTGTGAGTTCAAGTGCGAGTGAGTGTGAGTGTGTGTGTGTGTATGTGTATGTGTGTATGGCTACTTAGTGACATTATCCCCTTTTTTTCTGTTCTTTTTGAATAGTTACCATTGCCATATTCCTGGCATGAGTCCCATACCACCAAGTCTCAGTGATATCTGCAATACTATATCAAATTGCTTCCTGAATAAACAGTGATACAGTGGAAAGAAAACTGATTTGGAGTCAGAGGTCTAGGTTTACAATCTCAGTCTTATTATTTGTTTGATCCTGAACAAGATGTTAAAATTCTTTGGGCCTCAGTTTCCTTATGTTCAAAATAAGAATTTTGGACTACAAAGCTTTAAATCCATGATCCTGTCATCCTGAGAACCTAAATATCTGAGGCCAAAAAACATTTGAATTAAGAGCCATGGATTTAAATCTCAGTTCTTTCATTTACTATATGACCACAGGGATTTTTTTTAACTCTGAGGATAATTTTCCATATCTATAAACTGGGGACAATAATACTCACAAGAATGTTTTAAGAAAATCACATTGTAAACTTTTAGGCACCATTTAAATGTGGTTATTTTCATTACTATTATTTGCTGTGAAGCCTTTTTTTACAACTGTATCAGGAAAATTAAAACTGAATTGAATGGGATAGATGGAATTGCACAACAGAGCAATAAATGTTAGCCTTGTAAAGACAGGACAAAGAATTTCTTTAAGACAAAGAAAGAAGGAGATGACACCCAAAAATACAGAAAAATACTGAGGTGGGAAGGAGGGAAATTCAAGGAACTCAATTCACTTTGGCCTTCATCTCAACAAACTAGTAAGAGATGATCTACTGATAATGATAGTGAGGAGACAGAAGATCAAAAGAAGATTTTTTCACTTCATGGGAATTAAAAAAATAACTGCTTCTAAGTAAAGCTTTGAGTGCATTAAATGAAAGTATGAAAGTTAAGTTCTGAGGAGGGGATGGAGAGATAAGTTTAAATAAAGGAAATTTACTGATCTAGAACTTTATTGCTAGAATCATTTAGATCTGGTCAGTCATAGGGGAAGAAGGAAGAGAATTAAAGCAGATAAAATAATTCCACAGGACTGCCATGCGTGGATAGGTTAGGCTGCGTGGATAGGTTAGGCTGCATTGAAGGAATACATCATGATGACATAAATTCATCAAAGTAACTTTTGTACAAATTTAATGTTGACTAAACTAGAACTTTGAGAGTCTAAAAATGAGTGTCTTTCCGGGTAAATACACATGATTCAAATTTGAGTTTAAAAGCTGACATGATTTATTCTTTTTTCCTTCCTGCACAGGTAATTAATAATAGGTCTAAACCAGCAAAGTGTTACAAATCACAACAAAATGGAGGTCATTATGGTTGTTTAATCCAGATTTTAAAAAAAAAATCATTTCTAATTTGTCTTTGAACTTCTCTTAAAACCAAATGTAATTAGTATCCTGAAGGTTGAGACTTGGAGCACTCTGAAAATGCCATATTTTTCCTCTACAGCACAACACTAAATGTAGGATTTTCTATTGTACAAATATAGCTACTGACACTAAAATTAAGGCACTTGTATTCTTTTAAAGAGTCTGCTATTAATTGTCACATGAAGCTCCTGCATCTAATTATTGATCAGTCAAGGAGGAAGGCTCCTTAACAATCAATCTGACATCCAAGTCCAGATCCTTTGGAGAGGGAACTGATAAACATTTAAAGGGTCATACTAGTAAGTTTTCCTGATCTTAGTCCTCTCTACAAACCCACTCCCCAGTATTCTACTTAGTATAGATTACTTCACTGAATTATTAAGATATAAAAATTAGAATGACTTTTCAAAATAGGCCAGAATAGCTATTCAAAACAGGAGTCATCACTCTTAAATGTTTCAAGCTATCATTTGTTCATTGACTCCGCTAAAGTGTTTATATTAACATTACAACCCACATTTTACACCCTCATTTAATAGAATTTCAGAAATATTCATTAGTTTCATGGCTTCAAAATGTAACATAACATGATGAAGTAAATATATATATGCATACATACAAAATAAATATATATACACATAAATACACACATAATTGTTTTTCTTTTTTTTTTTTTTTTAGTGAGGCAATCAGGGTTAAGCGACTTGCCCAAGGTCACACAGCTAGTACGTGTGGAGTGTTTGGTCTGAGGCTGGATTTGAACTCAGGTCCTCCTGACTTCAGGTCTAGTGCTCTATCCACTGCACCACCTAGCTGCCCCCACATATAAATATTTTAAAACACAACAAATAAATAAAAACATTAATCTATCAAAAGCGAAAAAAGGAGAAAGAGAGAGTAAAACAGAGAGACAGATGGAAGAGATCTGAACTTGGAGTCAATAGGAGACATGCAGCAGTATATCACTTCTGAACTTTAGTAGCTTTAACTGAGCCCCTGTTTATTCATCTGTAAATTTGAGATAATAACACTTGGGTAACCTACTTCATCAGGTTGTTGTGAGGATCAAATGAGATAATGAATATAAAGTATTTTGTAAAACTGAATGTACTATGTAAATGTCAACTATTGTTGATATTATTAAATGACAGGAAACCAATGACACCTAAAATTATACCCCCATACATGGGTGTGTATATTATATGCATATGTGTGTATACACACACACACACACATATATACACACATATGTGTCTATGTACACACATGCTTTTTACAGATTTCAGGTGTTAGACTTTGTATATTTAAAGCAAATAATTGCTAATTCATACCCAGCTTAGAACCACAAAAATAATACTGAACAGCTTACTAATGAAAGATACTGTCTTCTACAATTCAATCTGCACCACACAGATTCTTTATTACTACACAAGACAATGCTATTCTGCCAAAGTTTAATTAAAGTTTAGATATTTGAAAGGGTGATGATAATGTTTTCACTGATAAAATATTTACCTGTCTTAGGATCGATAGAGAAATAAGGCTGTCCCTGAAGGATGCTGTAAACCACTCTGGCACTATTTCCATAGGTTGGATCATCTGCATCTGTGGCTTTGACCTGAAGCACATATGCACCTAGACAAAAGAAGAGAAGGTAACAATTGAGCATTCTAATCTTCTCTATTCTATCTGTTCTGACTTGAGTTTGTTTGGATTGGGATATCCCACAGCGCCAAAAGTCAAGGGCAAAGGAAATGTCAACTTTGGGAACAAATGACCAAAGAGTCACACAGGTTTTGCAGCCACTGTTAACTCCAAAAATACCAAAGAGTTTATAGAGGTTAAAAGCAAAAAGCTTTCTTTATTCTGTTGGGAGAGAGAAATTAATTAGACCCATGTGCCAAGGCCTCCTCTAGTAGGAGACCCAAGGTGGTGGGGCTAAACTTTGAGTTATATATTTGTGGTTAGATAAAGAATCAAACATTGTAGTGTAGCAACAGTGGTGAGTCACAACAGCAACAGTGAGGTGCAACAGCAATAGTGAGGCAAGGTTGTCTAGTGACAAAAATCTATTAGTAGTAGGGCTTCGTGTCTGTGCCTGACGGTGGTTGCCCAAGCTCAGGTACCATCAGTTCTATGATTTAGTTGTAGCAACGTGCAGCCATAGTACAAAGGGTTATTGTTATGCCAAGCTCAAGGTACAGCTTGCTTTCTAGGTCTTAGCTTTGGAAAACAGGGTGTCTAAAAAAAGAGGGGGTAACCTTGGATCCTGATGTAAATACTTTGGCCTATCCAGGTATATCACACATATTTTAATAACTATTTTTATAAAGGGAGATATATTCAGAAATTTTTGACTATGGGAATTATCACTAGCATTTTTAAAACAGTTGCAGACACTTTAAATTAGCCCATAATGTTCACTTAGGAATGGTTCAGGCTTCATGGAAATGTTCTCAATAAATTTCAAAGATCTTCAGCTTAATAATCTTTTATAATTGAGAGAAATTATTATTAGTAACCAAAGATATGGGGAGATTTAGATTTCTCCACTTTATCCCTATTTTAAGACCTCTGTTTCTGAAGGTTGAGCTGACTTTCTCCTCTATCCAGACCCTACTCAGGTGGGGCAGTGATTGTGTTCTGCTCAGGTTTAGGTGGGGATAAATGAATAGATTGCCCAAAGCCAGGGTTAACTTAAGAAATAAATGACATAATCAAAATTTAGGTCCAGCCCTTCATTGTAATATTTATTTTCTTGTTAATTGTTAACAAATCAGAATTGATTGTCACTCTGGAGAACACCTACTATTCAAAGGGCAAAAAAAAAACAAAACAAAACTGTAAGCCCCTACAACGTTTGTCTTCGGTCTAAGAGAGAGGTGGCCAAATTACCATACTTTTATTAAAATGCTGGCATTATCAATAAAATTATTAAATTACACAGAAATTATGTCTCTCAAACATTTTTTAATGTCACATAATGTTAAGCAAACTATAGTAATATGTAAAAACCAATGCCTATGCAACAGGCATTATAAAAGACAGAAAAAATTATTTATGTAATCATGGAAAAAAACATATTATTTTAGGTTGATTTATCATGCAAAGGGATGTATCTACCATAGGTCTTTCAAAGATCAAAGACATAGAGACTAAGGTCAATAAGTCAAAGCCAAAGTTACAGTTGGAGTTGGAGTCAGGACAAGGAAAACACATACCAGCTGTCCCTTTTTTCCACATTCCATAGGAATTAAGTGAATGATCATGTTGCAGACATCTTAGAGAACTGCTTATTTTTATGATTAACAAAATAAATGACAAGTAAACCTTCTCATACTTTTTTTTAAATTTAGGTAGAGCTCATAATTTTTAGCTGTTTCCTTATAAAAAATGTTATGGAAAACTTTGATTCTTTAGCATATTTCAGTGTTATCATTTAAAAGTGTGTGTGTGTGTGTGTGTGTGTGTGTGTGTGTGTGTTATCCCAGTCTCTATCTCTTCTAACTTCTCTTCCAGTTAAATGCATATAAAAAGTTAAAGGAAACCAAATTGTACTGATAATAGCATTGGGTTGCTCAGAGGCAGGAGGAAATATCTAATAAACAGAATGGGAACAATGCCTAAACCTGAATTTATTCCAGTTAATTGTGTCTGAAGGCAAAGGAAACACAAAGACCTCCAAGAAAAAGGGGCACAGTAGGTGTCTAAGAGGTGCCAAAGTGTTTAGCAGAAATTGTAGCTGCCACACAATTCTAGGCAGGAGACCTATATGTCATCAAAAAAGAAATGAGTGGAAGTTATGGAGTAGACAAAATCAATGCAAAGCAACTTCAAAGGTATCACATCTGGAGCAAATTCCCATCATTTGCCACCAAATGTTAGTTGACAAACCTTTATTAAGCACTTACTTTATGCCAGGCACTATGCTAAGTACTGGGGATACAAAGAGAGACAAAAATAGTCCCTGACCTTAAGTAGCTAACATTTTAATGGAAGAGACACCATGTAAAAAGTTAAATACATACCAGATATATGCAGAAGAGATTGAAGACACTTATATAGGAGAAAGTACTGACTTGGAAAAAAAAAGAAACAACTTCTGCAAGAGATAGAAATGAAGAGTAAAAACCTTTCAGGTATGAAGGACAGCCAATGCAAAGGCATAGAGAATAGAGAGGTAGCATCATGTGGAAGAAACAGCGAGTAGGCTGGTAGAACTGTTGGAGTCAAGTTGGGTCTAGATGTACCAGCATCAGGGAAGCCATTGATTCTGATGAGGTGATAACAAGCTCTTGTCAATCACTAAGAAAAGTCATTTCTGGCCAGAACTATTTGAAATCTCAAAGGCTAAGACAGAATCATAAGAACTGGGAAATTTCCCACCTGCAATGTATGGAATCCTCTTCCTTCTTCCCCTCAAGTGGACTATATGTAATTTTGCAAAGTTCTTTCTGGGCAAATACATATTACAATGGAAAAAGAAAGCAAATCACATGGGGAAACATAAACAGACATCTGGAGATCAGAAGCAAAGAGCAATAAGGTAAGTGATTTTTAATTGAAAGTGCATTTACATTATGATACAATACATTACTATACAAGTCAAGATGACTGGTGATGCCTCAGGATGCTGTGGATGAACTTGGCATCTTTGATGTCTAAGCACTTCACAGCTGCCTTCATGGTCTGTGGGAACAAATTGTTCACATCTGCCCATTCCACTGGAGGAAGTCTTCACATGGTTGGAGTAAATACTCCCTTAACTCACTGAGAGGTTTGAGGCCTTTCAGTTTACCCTCAACATTGTTTAGACTGTCTGCTGAAACTTTTACTGGAGTGTGGCCACTGTGCATGCTACATCTTCTGGGAGCCACAGGTGAGAGTTGGGTGGCAGGTGGACACCAAAGGTGAAAAAGTGCTCTGAAAAGAGCTCAGCAGCACTCACACTAGAGGTAGTAGTCTTCCCTGACACCTTAAACCCCACATATGGGGTATATGTATGTATATATGTATATGTGTATTTTCATGTATGCACACATGCACGCACACACATATGTATACACACATATAATGTTTATATATTTTTTTCCTGAAGTCTTATGACTCTAATTAAGAGTCAGACCATACAGATCTGCCAAATCTGGTATCATAGAGAATAGGAGGTAAACCATGGGCAAATAAATTAAAAAACAGCAGTAATCCATGGGAGATGATATCAAAGAAGAGAATCAACAAAACTCAGAGCCTTAACTTCCTATATACACAAAAGCATGGCTCACAAATAAGATAAGCTAAAAATGCTAACCTAAGGAAGTAACTTTGAACTCATGTGTAGCCCTATAATATGGTGCAATGGTGACTCATGTCTGGAGTATAAACATAGTAGGACCTTATTCAAAAGGAACACAACAGCAAGTACAGCAGAGGAAGGAAAAAGAGAGAAGTCACAAAACCCCAAAGCTCTTAACAGGCAGTATGATGGACTGACTTGAATAAGATGAACTTTAGTAGAGACATGTGTTATCTTCTTTTTTTTTTTTTAATTTTTAGGCAATTGAGGTTAAGTGACTTGCCCAGAGTCACACAGCTAGTAAGTGACAAGTGTTTGGTCTGAGGACAAATTTGAACTCAGGTCCTTCTGACTTCAGGGCCGGTGCTCTATCCACTGTGCCACCTAACTGCCCCGACCTGTGTTATCTTCTATACTTGGCATCAAAATATCAATTTCATAAGCATTGGGGGAGGAGTAGGTTAGGAACATTTCATGCAAAAAAAAAAAGATCTTGAGAGTTTTAGCGGATTGAAATTTCCTTATGAAGCCATATGACCCCTTGAAAACTATATATCGGCCAAAGACCTATGGTGCATCTCATCTACTCAGTGCGGATTGAGTACATTGATTAGTGATAATGATCCAGAAGAAATGGGCTGAACACTTCCATAGTGTTCTCAACAGTTGGCATCAACCAATGCTCAAGTCACTGATTGTATACCTCAGTTTAAAGTTGGTCCCTCTCTAGTCAAGCTTTCGACTGAAGAAGGTTTTGAATGCCATTAGGCACCTGTCATGTAGCAAAACATCTGGTGCTGATTCTGTTACAGCTGAGATTTACAAGTCCATTACTCATATAAAAGCTGACTGAAATTTTTTAGGTTGTGTGGCAAGAGAAGAGTACCCCCCACTAGTTCCAGGATGCCTTCATTGTCAATCTCTATAAAGGTAAAGGAAATAGATTGTCCTATGACAATCACAGGATGAAGGCTGGTATCTCTCTTATCACTGCTAGAAAAATTCTGGCCAGAATCCTTAATAAGGTGATTCTTAACCTGGAAGATGACCATATACCTGAGAGCCAAGTGTAGCTTCAGAAAGAGCTGTGGAATGGTCAATATAGTGTTTGCTACTCGACAACGCTAGAAGAAATGCCAGGAGTAGAACAACATTTGTCAATCTGACCAAGGCTTTTGATACTGTCAGTCATTAGGGCTTATGGAAGATCATGGAAAAATTTGGTTGCCTAGAGAAGTTCATCAGTACTATATGCCAGTTCCATGACAGCATGCTTGCATGAGTTTTGGATAATGGATGACACTCTCAAGATTTCCCAGACCAGGCTTTTTGTCTGATTTTG